GCTCCTCGCTCGGCTCCGGGTGTGCCAGGTACCCGCAGGCAGGACCGGGACGCGGGGACCCCCTCTCCCCCCCGCCAGCCCCGAAGGGCGAGCGCTGGCGCGGGTACTTACGCCGGAGGATCTCCCGCTGCTTGCGGACGTACCACGTGTAGAGGGCGGCTCTCTTCTGCGTCTTCATGGGGGTGCCCTTGTTGAGGTGCTGGGAGAGGTGCGACTGGTTGAGGCCGGTGACATCCACCACCTCCCGCTGTGGGATGTTGTGCTGCTGCATGTACCCCTTGATCATCTTCGCCGCCCGCCACGGGTCCTCGCTGGGGGGGGAAGGAAACGAAGGGTTAATCTCTCCCAGCGAGGGAAAAGTGCCTGGTATTTGCTTCTTCCCATGATGGAAACCCATTATTATTATTCTGAAACCTGTTTCAGAAGGACACAAGATCCCTTGAGCGTATGTCCTTCTCCAACTGCCATCCTGGCCCCCCAAAACAGCCCCATCCTGCCCCAGGGAGGCAGGGGCTGGCGGGACGGGGCCTCACGGGGTGCCACGGCCACCCTGGGGACCCCCACCAGGCTGTTCGCCCAGGGATGGAGAAGTAAAGAGGATCCCGGTGTCCTGACGGGGCACATGGAGGTCTCATTAATGCTGGTAAAGCACCTCCAGATCCTTCAAGGAGAAACGCAGCCCATCCATTAACCGCTGCTGGTTTATGTTCACTGCAGTTTCTCCCTTTGAAGATACGCACACACAATGGGATACACAAACACACACGTACGTATGGATACGGGAAGCCCATATGGATATTTCTCTGAAAAAAAGAGAAACCTGTAATTTGGAGGTGCTGGGGATGCTTTTCCTGCCCCCGCTCCCGGGTGCGGTACCCGCACTGCGCCCCGGGCCCCCGGGCTTGCCACGGACTGGCGGAGTCCCCCACCCGGTCACCGACCCCCCCCCGCCACGCTTGCTGCTTTATCTTCTCCCTTCCAATCCCTCAGGAGTAATTACCTAAAAATCTCAATATTCATTTAAAAGAGACCCTATTTCCACCCTCCCACAACAGCGAAGTGTACACACGGGCCACACGCAAAAGGCTGAGATGCAGAAGGTCAAACCAAGCACGCAAACCCAGGCAAGCCCCTGAACAGAAAAGCAAACACCCAAAAAAAAAGCAAACCCCCCCCCCCCCAATAATTTTAAGTCATTCTTGAATATTTTTAAACACTTGAATTTGGGTCCTGCGAGATCCAGGTGTAAAATGACTCTTTTTTAAATGCGCATTACTTGGGTGTCCTTGGGGTAGCTGACACCAATCTAGGGAACAAACAAAATTACAGCCAAAAATCAAAATGCTGTCTGCGCTCTTTAGCTCTAACGAAAGCACGACGCGAGGGCAGAGGAACAGGCCGACGTGCCTTCGCCGTACTCAAGACCCCTGGGTTTACTCTGCACTACAGGAGGACGCTGGACTAAAAGGAAGTGCTTTAATGCTGAAAAATCGGTGCGGAGCCTGAGCCTGGTCACAGTCATGCACTCAAATAATGCGATACTCTAACGCTGCGCTTGGAATAACCATCCGACTGCTTTCCCAATTCATTACTTATTTTGGATCCTTCAACTTGTCAAGGGGGAAAAAAAACCCAACAAGTAGATTTCTTACTTTTTGTCCTGAATGCAGCGTGAAAACAAAGCTGGTTGGATCCAAAGCAAAAGTACCCGACCGGGGCCAGCCCGCTGACGGCGGCGGGGGCTTTGTCAGACCCCAGGAAGGAGGGCACGGAGCCCTCCTCGAGACGTTGTCCCTGTGCCCAATCCTGCATCCTCTGGGCAGGGGAACCCCGCCGTATATATGGTGTCCTCTATACGGCGATGGTCGCACGGCACTGCAGACCTGCGGAGCTGTATATATGCACGGGCACACGGACACGCCGACTCCGGTTTTCCCAACAGCCCGGACCCCCGATCGGGTTAAGCACGGTGCAAACAGAAAAGCCTGCTCCCGTCCCCAAAACGCACGGCAGCGTGTGGCCGGGCCGTTGGCTCAGCAGCCCCCGCAGCAAACATGGGTGCCGACAGCCGGCAGGGGGCCTTCTCTGC